TAATCCAGGAAGTAGTAAAGCTGAAATATGAAATAGTAGAACAAGCTTCGGGTTCTGCAATATATTACAACTTTGGCAGGTAGGATCTCTACTTTAACTAAGATCAGAGTGGGTGCTATATTCACAAGCCATCCCTGGAGACTTTGGTAAAGTGAGAGCAGCACAACCAAATGTGTTTCACAAAGCTTACATAGCTATCCAGATCTGCACATGTTCATCGCCTTTCACGTACACATGTTGTCTTGTAGTCATACAGTAAGTAAACCAAAAAGAGAGAAAGGGGCTTATGAGGTGTCATCTAGTATTGTCATCTAGCATCTGTATTGTCATAAGCAATATTTCAAACATCTTTAGTTATAAATATTATTGAATAAAATATTTGATTCAATAATATTTATAATTAAAGATGTTTGATATGGGGATATGTGATCGTGGGGTTAAGAGAGGCCCAATGCCTTTTAAAATAACATTGTATTGAGGGTGGTACTAATGATTCAATACTAGTAGGCATATATTTATGCTTTTATGGTGTTCTATAATCTAATTTTAATAAAGATGTATTTGCATTAGAATGTGTTGTTTATGCCTAGAATGACACCTCATAAGCCCCTTTCTCTTATACTTACATGTATATTTAGGGGTGAGATGTCATATTCGCATGGTGGCTCAGATTACCCTCTCTCTTTTTTCTTTTGTAGTCATACAGTATATATTGAAAGGCCAAGAGTGTGTAGACACCTGAACATCATACCTATATAAGCTTGTGGAACATCTCATTCCCAAACCATGAACATTAATATGTCATTGCTCCCCTCCCCAGGTACTGATTATGGATAGGAAGACCTGGTTCACAATCAGCAGCTCAATTTATCCCAAAGGTTTTCAATAGGTTTGAGGTCAGGGCGCTGTGTAGAACACTCATCAAATGTATTGTATTTGCAATTCCTAGTGGGAATCTCCTGGTCATATTTGTAATTCCTGCTGGATTGGCAGTGGTTAAAATTGACTAAAAATCGCCATGCCTAGCCAGCTTTTGGCCTTACATTCAGAGGACAATTTTTGCTAGCAAACGTGAAACTTGATCAGTAATTATAAGCAGAAACACCAGTTTAAGTGTTCGTTATCTAATGAAGAGTTTAACAGGCTGTTGAACAATATGGTTTCATTTAGTTCTGAGATTGCACAAGTACTAAGATGGTTCTCACCGCACAGCCTTGACCCGGTGCCAACGTCCATCATTGAATGTTCCATTCACCATTATGGAGACCATTCCACTGCCCAGGTTGTAGCTGCAGGAAAGATATTTAGACTGTATAATAGAGAAATACATTCCTCTCAAGCTTTACCTCCAAACATGGGTGGCAAATACTGTATACAGGTATTTAATCAAATTTGAAAATGTATAGGAGGACTCCTATTGAACCTGATGCATTTACTAGACTATCTTTAACGTAACAATATGATTTTTCTGCCTGTTAAAGTGTATCTGTAGGCAAAACCTTTTTGGATAGAGTGGGGAAGGGTTAGTCAAGTTTCTATTGCTGTCTGTGTTCCCATTGGGTACATTCACCCATTTATTTATCTTGGTGTGACCGTTGTCACCAACAAAAAATTAAAGGGGAAAGTGAGGTTAAATCCAAAATGTTGGTGTTGTCAATGAGGTGAGGAGAAATCTTCCAATAGGGACACCTTTCTAGGGACAAATGCCTGTGAAGGGAAATGTTGTGTTTTTGGGACAGGAAATAAGGGAAATTTACCCAATTGTATAAAGACAGCAAAAACTAAACTGGCAGAGCTTTCAACCATTCCCTACTCTATTCAAAATGAAAAAAAAAATAGCTTTGGCTATACATACATGTGTTGCGGTAAGATATCCTATTCACTTTGGACTTTTATTGTTGGCATAAAGCAATCAATTCCATGGCTCCACCCACTGTCCTATAATGAGGAATAATCCTTCTTTTTTTGGATGCCACAGATAGATGCCTGTCTTTCTTTGATTTCTGCCTGACTAGTCATGCCATGGATCATTATTGTTTGGACTGTGTTAGTTGTGCTTGTGTGTGCTTATCCTAATCAGCAGGCTGTTATCTCAGCTCCATTTACCTGGGACCTGAACTTTGTTTTGACCTGGCCATCATCAGCTGACTGTTATTGCCTATTATGAGGACCTACACCAATCTAGCATCTGCCCTGCCTGTTGGTGGCTGTTGTCCCGGGCAATAAAGAAAGTCTACTGAACTCGGTAACAAGCATTATCCTAAAAGGTCTAAATAAATAAATAACTGAGTAACAAAAAATACCTAAAAACTATAGTCCCTTCCTGAAGGCCCAGTGAAATAAAGTCACTGTTTGGTCTCATGGGGCTGTCGCCTCTCCACATGAGCAGTCCATCCTTCACGGTTGTCTTAAATCTCATGAAGATGTTTGTACGAGATCCAGAAACTCTGGAGAAAAAAAAGATATCATATATTAACTCTATACATAGTATACATGGATTTTGTTTTCTTTGCTAACCTTGTACATACATTACAATCAGTGAACATTTAGAAAACATCAAACTTTCTTGAAACTATAGAAGTGCCCTCCAGCTCCAGCCCAGGAGTTGTTGGGAGATTACTGGGCGGCACATTACACAGACCATTTAAAGTGTATCTCAATCCAAACACTTGTTCCTGTGTTGTCAAAACATGTAAAGTGTAACATAAAGGAGTTGTAAAGTCCCAGCGTATACTATCCTGTTGTAACATCAGCATTGTAATAAGAATACATACTAGAGATGTTTTTGATAATGCGATCAAAGCTTAGTGGAAAAAAATCCCTTTTATGTAGTGAATGCTGCCTTCTGTCTGCCCATCACTTTGCATCTCTTCCTCTGCTGCTTGATGTGATGAACTATACAGTATTTTTATACACACACACACACACACACACACACACACACCCCCCGATCAGCCATAACAATATGACCTCCCGCTAAACATTCAGCAAGTCTCCCCTTTTGCCACCAAAACAGCCCTGAACCGTCAAGGCATGGACTCCACTAGACCTCTGAAGGTGTGCTGTGGTATCTGGCACGAAACCGTCAGTAGCAGATCCTTTAGGTCCTGTAAGTTGCCAGGTGGGGACTCCATGGATCAGACTTTTTTCCAGAACATTCCACTGATGCTCGATTGGATTGAGATCTGGAGAATTTGGAGGCCAAATCAACACCTCGTTGTTGTGTTCCTCAAACCAGTCTTGAACCATTTTGTAAGTTAATTTTTGCAGCATATTATCCTGCTGAAAGAAGGCCACTGCCATCAGGGAATACCGTTTCCATGAAGGGGTGTACTTAGTTAGCAGAACATTGCCCAAAGCATCACACTGCCTCTGCCGACTTGCCTTCTTCACATAGTACATCTTGGTGCCGTCTCTTCCCCAGTTAGGCAACGTACATGCACCCACCCATCCACATAATGTCAAACAAAATGTGATTTATCAGAACAGGCCACCTTCTTCCATTGCTCCGTGGTCTAGTTCTGATGCTCATGTGCCCATTGTAGGTGTTTTGGAGGTGGACATGGGTCAGCATGAACACCCTGACCTGTCTGCAGCTACTTAGCCCCATATGGAACAAACTGTGATGCTCTGTGTGGTCAGACACCTTTTTATCAGAACCAGCATTTATTTTTTCAGCAATTTGAGCTACAGTAGCTCTTCTATTGGATCAGACTACACAGGCCAACCTTTGCTCCCTACATGCATCAATGAGTCTTGGCCAGAAATGAACCCGTCGCTGGTTCACTGGTTGTCCTTCTGTTGAGCACTTTTGGTAGGTCCTGACCACTGCAGACTGGGAATATCCCACAATAGCTGCAATTTTGGAGTTGCTCCAGTTGTCTAGCCATCACAATTTGACCCTTGTCAGAGTCATTCAAATCCTTACGCTTGTCCATTTCTGTTATGTATATATATAACATAATGTATATATGTATATACACACACACATATATATATATATATATCTATATTAAATATGAGCACTGTGGATCCATCCAAGCAAAGCTAAGCTACTTCAAAACATGGAAAGGAAAAGGAATGTAACAGAGGATCTACCCCAAATACTGATCCACACAGTGGCATTCACTTACCGTTTAAGAATTTCTCGGCTGTCATATATAAGATAACTGCGTCCAATAAACTGCGGGATTTCAATGGCTTCTGTAATGACTAAGAAGAACAATAATGTTTATTTTTTATCTGCCCACAGTCTGTGCAGTTCATATGTGTCTGTGATGGAGCAATACATACACTATAAAAAGGTCAAAACTATGTACCATAGGAACCAACTAGCAATGTTTAAATTGCATTGGGGTGTCAATGTAAATGAATGCCACCACAACGCATAGCAATTTGTTGTGGTAATGTGTGCCCAAAAATGCACCTTTTGCTGCACCAAATAGGTTTGAAGTCAGCCTTTAAGCAATACAGCCTGGTCTAGGTCCCGCCTCTGACTGTAGTTAGACAGTTTTATCGCAATGTATATAAAATGTTTATTTGAAAATCCACACCAATACAGGGTGACCCACTGACAAAGGAGTCACAGACAGCAGCTTCAGACTCTCTTTCTCTCTAACTGAAGATTGTCTGAACGGTGAAGGAGTCACTGCACTAACGCCTAACGCCTTCACTTGTGTGTGTAAATATCACCTTGAGCTATTAAGCTCTGTAATCAGGTCAACAAATGGACTAAGGAGATCCCAAAAAACATGTTGAAAGAGCTCCATCTGCCAGCTGCACATGGAAATGAAAAAGCAGAAAATTGCAATTTTAAAACAATTCCAAATCAGAAAAAAAAATATTTGTTCAAAATGTGTCCTGACCATAATTTAGAAATGAATACAAACTCACTATACATTCCCTTTAAATGTCATTGACATACAAGCATTTAGAACTTTGTATTGTTTTATATAGTTATGAAATATCTTAAACCACTCAACTTGGTTTTTATTCTATTTTTTTGTGTCCACGCCAAACCTTTTTGTTTGTTCTGCATAGAACCGAAAATAGACAGGGAATAGTAAGAACCTTTGTTCAGTTATTGTAGCGGTGTCAGAACGAAGAACTGCCCTTACCAACCAATCAAATGTTTCCCTTCTTTCCCTCATACTAGATACTTAGAGGTATATTTATAAAAACATTGCAGAGCCATTCACCCTGCGAATACCTGTGAATGTTCGTTCCATGTGAATAGAGGCAAAAAGGAATGTTCTTAATATATTTTCTTTTCAGGGCATTTGTAATGTAACCACATTGTGGCCACTAGATGGAGCTGATGAGTATAGGAAATAAATACATCTATTTTATGCTTCTCAGCTCCATATGCTGCAATATATAAAATGTTTGTTCTCAGGTTTAGATATCCTTTAAAAAAATTGCTACTGATTATGGCCAACAAATTGTGAACATTTCTTCAGACACTTCTCATGGGAAAAATTCCACATATGTTTCAATCCTGTCATTAAAATTCTTCTATTTTCCAATAACAGCATTATCTATGAAAATCGTTTCATGTGCAGGCAATTTTTTTTATTGATCCTTTGGGTTCAAACATTAAATGTGTAAAGAAGTAGTTATCTATACCTCATCAGGTTTATAACACCACATCCTTCATAATATACAAACCTAACAAAACTCACATTTGGGAATTTTAAGTTGTTTGATATAAAAAAAAACATTAATTGTATGCATTCATCATAGAAAATATATTAAAACATGTCTCTTTAGGAAGCAATAGATTTCCAAATGTAAATTCCAAGATATTACACACTGCCTGGCCAAAGATAAAGTCACACACTCTAATACTTTGTTGGATCACCTTTAGCTTTGATTATGGCCGCGGCATCGTTTTGATGAGAGTTTTCGTTCACACTCGTCCACCAAAACATTAAATTGTAGGTTTCCACACTGAATTGTGATTTGCTCCATCGGGGCTCAGGCACCGTTCTCCATTGCCGCCAGGTGTGCCCACAGTTCACCTTCTCCTACTATGCACGCCACACACAGCTCTCTGCAGCCACATTCACTTCCGCTTCGAGTGCTAAGTTAGCAGTGCTGACCGCTGACTTGCAGCGCAGCACAGCACTCAGGAGCTGAGCATCTGAACAAGCCTCTGGTCATTCAGTATATTCAGAAAGACAGCTGACCTAAATTTTTGGGCACATGACGTTGCTGAACCTAATCCTATTTTCAATGGATGGCTCCTACCTATTTGCTTAGCTAAATCTCGGTGGTAACTTTTGTTAGGTGTGTACACCAATTCATTTCTATACATATACATAGGTATGCATATGAATTGTTATACAATATGTTCTAATTTACAGTAGGAAGTCTATTGCAATATTGCTTTTTAAAGAGACATGTTTTAATATATTTTCTATGAGGAATTATTCAAATTAATGTTTTTCATATCGAACTATAGACATGTGCATTTGGATTCAGACGAACCTGCAAATCAACGAAAATCAGTTGATGCGGTGGTTCGTCATAATCCAAAATAACAAATTTATTATATGCTTGAATATGCTAAAACTATATTCGGGCATACATACATTTGTTTACAGGACGCGCTGCCATCTTTGATTATCTCTCAGTATACACCAAGATGGCAGCGCCCGTATGTTGGTGTATACCAAGATACACTCAAAGATGGTGGAGCGCAAGCGCAGAATGGCGGCCGCTTGTTCTGGATTTTCAGTGTGACATCACATGCTGAACGAGTAGTGGCCATAGCGGCCATCGGTGCATTCTGTGCAGGCGTGCCGCCATCTTTGAGTATATTTTTGTATACACCAAGATGGCGGTGCCCAAACATACGGGTGCAGCCATCTTGGTGTATACCAAGATACACTCAAAGATGGCGGACGCCGGCGGCTCGTTCTGCATTTTCAGTGTGCGGTTTTGGATTCGGAAGCTCGTTACCTCCAAATCTGAAATGGCAGAAAAAATTGTTTTCTTTGATAAATGGAAATTATTTTTTTGTCAGAAAACAAATTTTGTTGCCGTGCATATGTCTATCGAACACCTTATAAACCCCATATTACATATGTGTATTGTTAGAATTGTATTTTAGGTTTTGATGTTTGCAATGTGTGTGGCGACTTTTTAAATAAACAATGTGTTACAATTAGTAACTTAGATCCAGTCAGGCAAGACATCAAACACTGGTCGTACCATCAAATGATAAGATATCCAAATGTGATCAAAGTTCCAATGGAAAAGAAATGAAGCCACATTGACGTGTTTTTAGGCAACATTAGAGGAGTTTCCTCCCAAATTCTTTATTGGGGATTCCCTTAGTGGGCTAATTCTATATTCTGCTACCTATAACAGAGGCTAGAACAGTACTTACTATTAAAGCAGTAATTTCCACATTCTGCAACAAGTCAGCACAAAAACAAAAATTGATACAGAGAAATAAGAACTGATCCTGAGATACAGTCACTGAACATGTTATATATCCATCCATTCAACTACCTGGATAATAAATATAAAACTGAACATGACTTCAATTGTCTACATACTCTGAGCTGATCTTTGACCAGCAGCCATTAGTTAGCATTTGTACTATAAGAACTCATGCACGCTCATGTAAAACCTTCAGATCCGAAAATTGTGTATTTTTTTATTAATCTGAACGCAGCAGTATTGTATGCTATAGAGCAGGGGCAGGAAAACTCCGGCCCTCCAGCTGTGGTCCAACTACAAATCCTGTGTAGAGGGCCAGAAATTGCCTACCCATTTTGCTATAGACCCATGCACACCTCTGTGTTGACAGTGAAACTGCACTGCGTAAAGAGCTGTAGAATCAAAATAGCGGAATCGGCGTCTGTGGTCAGTAATTACGTGTGTATGCATTTAAATGTGTCAAATTTGAGGAATGGAACAAGAAATGTGCCGATCTGTGCATTTATGCGTCTAAATGTGTATTTACAGAAGCACTTTACTGAACATTAGATGAGTTTTCTATGCAGGATCTTGCTGCCATCCTCTGCCATGTATCTATAGATATCAATAAATGAATTATAACCATGTGCATGAGCCCTTAAGCAAACCGGTGGTCAAAAAAAATAACAAACACACACAGGATAGTTAAAGCCCCATTGAGCACCTTTAATTTTACTGACCAGCTCCCGCAATCTGCCTATGCATACCGACTTCCTAAAAGCCTAAGCTACCCATGGTACAATGCGATGGCCTAGCAAGAGGCCTGGTCATTGCCACACTGGGCGCACCAATGAGTCAACTTTCAGAAATGTTATATGTACATTGAAGGAGAAATAAAACCAAATCTTTTTCTGGCTGTACTAATGTATTTACTAATATACCCCTGTGACCTAAAGTCAGCATATAGGAGGCTACTGCCCACTATATGCTGACAGGGCAGAGCCGTGCTGCAGCCAGGAAGTATCCTGACAATATTATTGGGATCCATCCTGCTGCCTGATTGACAGCTGGCTCTGCCTCTCTAGATCCAAAGCCAACTGTACCCGCCCCTGCCCTGTCTGTCCCTCCAATGAGAGCTGAAGAAATCGAGAGAGGGGAGGGGGGAATCCCTGCAGGGAGGGATGACTGACAGTCACTGCTTTCTGCAGGGAGAAGATGAACTGAGTGATCAGCGGTTTGTGGTCGCTCAGTTCCCGACCTATAGAGCTGGCATGTGACAGTTGCAGTGTACTATGCCGACTCTAAGTATTGGGAAGAGTACATTTTACTGCCCTAATAGTTCTCCTTTAATAGAGGTGCTTTCATGGTGAGAGAGGGAAGGTATGTATATGACGATGTAAGCAACAATGTGTACAGTAACTTCCTCTTTGCATGTGTTGGTTTCTAGTGTTTCTTTGACCTCAGGTTCTATATACAAATATAGCAAAATACCTGGCTGAGGCATCCAAGAAATTCAGCTGGATTGTTTATAAAGCAACTCTTCTGGATTAGCGTAGTCAGGGCAGATGAATAATTATGGTATACTAGAGTATCTCAGTGTATAGCAAGCACAGGGCAAAGTCTTCCTTCCCAACTGGTAGGGAGATGCTGCTATCTAGTGGAAAGATCCAATGACAGCAAGCATCATCTACAAAAAGTTTAATCTATCATCTAAGTCACGTCTCAGGAACAGCCATAATACAGTGTATATCTAACGGTACACTACCACCCAACTTTCTGAGATGAGGAAGGGAGACACCTTCCAGCACAATGTACTTAAGCAATGGGCACGCTTCCAGTTATGCAAATCATTTAACACTTATGTTTCGAAAATGATTGCTTATACCCAGAATTGTTTTTTTTTAACCATTAATTTTCCTTTATACTGTCTTTGTGAAATAGATAACAAGATAATTAAGAGATAAGATGAAGGTTTTAGTGCAGAATAACACTTCTGGTAGTTGAATAGTTTTAATAGATATCAGTACATCAGGCCAAAAAGGGGGACAACTGTGGAGGAAAGAGGCACAGAGGGATTTGGTTCTAAATGAGGGACAGTTCAGGGGAATATGTTAACAGGAAATACATCAGTACATGGATATATCATTACAAATTATGACATTTGCCCATGTGTGTCATTTTTTTTACCTTTCTGACAATTCTTGCCATCAAATCCCAGCGGACAGTCACATTCATAGCTGTCATGTTTGGGTCTACAACTTCCACTGTTGGCACAGGGTGCATTGGCGCAGGGATGGGCTGCATTGACCATATTTACTCCAAAAACCAAGCCAGTCACCAGATTCATGATCCTGTCATTTAGTATAAGCTGCGTGCAAAGATAAATTATTTATATAGTGAGATGGATCATTGGACATACTACCTGCCATTGTAAAAAGATATTTCTGCAACACCTTTTGACCCTCCCCTCCGATGACCAACATAATCACTTTCTACATGTGTACAAACAAACTCATTTTTTTTTTAAACTTTCCAGATTCATATTAAGTCAAATTAATGAGCAGATATTATCTCTGCAGATCGGTGTCAGAGTTACTACTCATCGTCTGTGTATGTTGTACTGTTGTTTCAAATAAGATCTATGTTTAAAAAAATATTTAAAATGTTGCACCTACATAGACAAATTATAAACTTTTTGCCTAGGCACAAAAATAATAATTAGTATACTCCGAATAATAATTATGTTATACCTGGATACACAAACTATAGTACTTCAAAGAAATGCTCATCAGTGGGATGGATGTTCCTAAGTCTGGAGCCACGGTCTGTCATACCCTGGATATGTATGTGGCCATCCTAACACATACATAATTTGACATTTCATTGTATAACATTCTGCCAAGTGTTGTATTCGTGGCCAGGAATTATACAGCCCAATGTGTTTCCCTGTACTCACTTTCTGAATGCTGCCACTGAATGGTCGCATTACACCGGAGTTCTTCTTCACTGTGTCATAATCAGGAACTCCCCCAATGTAGATGTCGGGGTTACACTTTATCTGGGTAAATCCCCCCTGGAAGATACAGGTGTACTTATTATTAACAGTTCACAACATTTTACATTATGTTTCCAGATAGTTATTAAATGTTTGTTATCTCTTTATTTCCCATAATTATATAGTGTTACAAAATCCCACTGTGGACCATTCTGATCAATCCCAACCAGTCTTATGTCCCTACCACAGACACCTGCAAATGGACAGCTTTGTCATAAGACAGTTAGGCCCCTTTCAGGCGGTTGATCAGGTCAAGTTTTTCAGATGGACCCGACCGGATGCTCAATCAGTACAGCAAAAGCTTTTCTTTTCTTTTTACATTTTGGATAGAAACCCCTGTTAGTTTTTTCCAGCTGTGTCCAATTGTGAGATTTCCCTTTACCAACCTTTCTGTATACACAACAGGAATTGAGAGAAAATCTGAATTTGAAGTGACAGACAGTTTTCCCCAGCACATGTGTCCCCATTTGAAGATCTCCCCGCTGTTTAAGTGACATCATTTGGATTTTTCTTTCATTTCTGCCTTGGTGATAATGGGCACAGGCAGCTACAAAAGCCTGACAGAGGTCCTAATCTCCCAACACTCCAAATCTATTCTGTTGACTTTAGATATACTTTAAGTGGGTTCCCTAGTGCTGCAAATCACAGTCCTAACCACGAAACCATTTTGAGTTCGCCTTTTCAAATCGTTTCCACCATAGGCCTGTAAGGACTTTAAGGTTCACTCACCTCTGCTCATTAAATGACACCCCAAAAGTCTTAAATATTGATTTATCCATTGAATGAATGATGAGACTGTCAATACAAACCTCAGACATTCCCTCTACTTGTCTCTGGTTGTCCACTTGTAGCAAGCCATTCTTAGCTGTCCGAGAAACTCGCAGTTCATGCCACTGGCCCAGGCTTACCGGCTTCTCGCTTCTGAATTGCAAAAAATAAAATATATAATACGAGAAACATACAGTGTGGAAAATAATTATTTGATCCCCTGCAGATTTTGTACGGTTGCCCACTTACAAAGAAATTAAACGTCTATAATTTTTATCATAAGTGTATTTTAAATGACAGAATATCAACCAAAAATCCAGAAAAAACACATAATACAAATGTTATAAATTGAGTTGCAGTTCAGTGAGTAAAATAAAAAATCTGCAGGGGATCAAATAATTATTTTCCTCACTGTATGTGCAAACTCAATGCAACTCATGTGCAATGTATTTCATCATCATCTCCAAGTATGAAAAGATGATAATATAGCTCGTAAGAGTTTCTACTTTGGCAGGACTGTCCAATTTCTGAGCTAGATAATGATAATGACCAATATGGAAGCTTCCATATATAATTACAAACAAGCAAGGTGTATGTATGTGTATGTATGTGTGTATACTGTGTGTGTGTGTATATATATATATATAGTAAACTGTTGTTCTCCTTTAACAGGAATTAGTGTGTGCTAATGTCATCTACAGGACAGTCTGAAATAGACTTTCAAGCAACTTAATAGACAACAATATTAAAGCAGCTTTATAAACAAGCATATCAGGCACTGGGTATGTTAATGGCATCTGTTGTGAGGTAACAAACAAAAAGAAATCACACTCTAACTCCCTGATGACCAACAGGACACAGGCACACTGGCAGGGCTCCTGTCTGCCCGCATCAAAGTGCCGGCTTTTTCAATACTCATCACTGTAAAGGTGTTGGTTTTTCTTTACTGATTTACTTTCGTACTTTATATATCTATATATATTACAAACATTTTGAATTATACATTTTGACTTTCTTGTGTTGTCTTCTGTGCAAAGAGGGACATGACATGGCTAAAGCAACTTAACTAAAATGTAGTATAGCCCAAATGCAGCTCCTGGGACTTTATATTGTCATTGTTCTGTTCTCAATAATTAATTGATCTAGTTTACACCAGTGACTTGGACTGACACAAAAGTCAGAATCTTCCCACAATGGCTTATGTAAGTGAGTCAGTAGCAGTTTAGGTTGTGACAATATCCTCCTTACACAAACAAAAAGTAAGGGCTAAACAAGGATAGGCAATCCACATCTTGTATGATATATTAGGCACAACTTTCACCTTTCCCTCATTTGGAACCAGATCCCTCTGTCCTTCTTTACAACTTACCGTAATTGTCTCTCTTTTTCGTCTAATATACAGCTATCAATGAAAATGTGCTATTCAACGGCCAAAAGTGGTATTATTCACCTTTATCCTACCTCTTAATTAACTTGCTTGCTATTTTTAAAAGCCAATATAAAGGAAACCTGATGGTGGAAAACAGCAGTTTAACCAATCATTTTTGACATATAAAAGCTTAATGGTCAGCAGAACTGGTGGCATGACAGGAGTGTGTCCCTTCTCTAAATACATTGTGCTGGAAAGTGTGTCCCTCTTTCTCATCTCAGAAAGTTGGGAGGTATGCATTATGCCTTTCATGTTTTTGCCATTTTTATAATACAATTGTGATCATTAGGATGACTAAGACCTTCCTCTTGAACTAACTTACACACATTTACCTTATCACGGCTGTTCCAGATCCGCAGTCAAACCTTAATACCACATAACCATTCACCATGGTGATGGAAATGAAATCTTTGCTATCTGTGTCATAGCTGTAGAGAATGGTCCCATCTTCTAAATCTGGCCGGAAGGTCATATCGAACTCCATGAAGGAAAGGTAATGGTGAGGTTCAAATGGCCACCTTGTCAAAGCGAAGGAGCGGCTTGACTCATTAAACTGAGGGATAGCCAGGATGAAAGCTAGAACACAATAAAATAAGTTAAGAGATTACCAAACCTTGATGCTTACTGTACAGTATCATACAGTATACGCTGGCCCTTCTTTAAACAGTTAGTAGGTTTATTAATTTCCAGGACCAGAGCAGTTTTCGGGTTTCAAAGATGATTTCATTTTGCTCCATATGAAGATAGGAGTTTTCAAATTGTGTCTAAGCCCAAACCATTTTCTTAGTTTCGCACAGGTTTGCCATATTTTCTTTCCTTTGCTGTCTGTGCCCCGGTTAGGGAGATACGCCTCACTGTCTGTCCTAGATATGCCTCAATGTCTGTCACTGTGACTGGAATTCAACATTTTGAGTGGTCACCAAAACAACAATAGAGGGGAAATCTTGCAGGGAACCACTTATTGCTGGGGCCCTTTCTTTTCTGTGAATACCTTTCTTCTTATTGGCTGCAGGGCCGGACTCCTGACAAGGCCACCGAGGCCCGGGCCTCGGGGCGGCACAGGTTTGAAGTCACCCGACGCCCGAAACATGGAGTTACGGGCGCCGGGCGGTAATTTTTTTCTACATTTAGCCCTGCTTTGTACAAGCAGGGCTAAATGAAGAATGGGAGAAACCACTTGTTTCTTTACAAGTGATCTTGGCGATGTCACCAAGATCACTTGTAATTAGATAGCAGCCGGTCCGTCCTCCCCGCCGCCCGCCCCCCGCACCTACCTCTGCATGCTGGCTCTGTCCTCCCGGGTCCGTCTCCCGGCTCTGTCCTCTCCTCGCTGGCCACCTCCATCTACAGGATGGAGAGCAGGGAGCAGAGCGGCAGGGTTAACAGTAACCCTGCCGCTCCGTGTAAACAGTGAGAGGGGAGAGCAGTCTTCCCATCTCACCTGTCACAGGAGTTCCAGCACAGCTCCTGTATTGGAGGTGACAGGGTCAATAAAGAGAACCTGTCACCTCCAAATGCGATCACACAGGGGTTTGTTATCTCCTGTGTGATAGCAATAAAGTTAAGTGGAAAAAAAATAGATCAAAAAATTACTTAAATAGAAAATAAATAAATAAGTAAAAAATAATAAGTAATAATAATTGCATTAAAAATGAAAGTAAAACGTAAATAAATAAAAAGTAAAAAAAAAGAAAAAATAAGAAATAATAAGAAAATAGTTATAAATAAAAAATAATAAGATAAAAAATTAAAAGATGACAAGATAAATAAAAATTTAAAAAAGTGATAAAAAAAGTTAAAAAAAGAAGAAAGAAACATTAAAAAAATTCAAACCAACCCTGCCACCCCCGCTATCTGAGGGGGATATGGGGGGGCGCATTGCGGAACCTGGCCGTGGGGGCAGCAGGGAGAGTAAATCCGGTCCTGATTGCCTGGTATGTCTACAGGACAGGAAATTAAGGGAAATCTTTCCAATGGGACACATATGACAAAAAACAAAAAAAACAAAAGCTCCCCTATTGCCTATCATACCCTGTCCAAAATAAAACAAAAGTCTTTGCTTTAGGTTTGAGTAATAAAGGAATAAAGACTGTTCACTTTGCAAATGTTTAGTGAAGATTGGTGAAGCCGTGTTCACCTAAATAATTTAATACAAGCAAAAATCTTGTATTTTTTTCCAATTTTCCTCGCACATCCTGGGGAATGTGAAGTTTCAAATTATTTACTAAACTATGTGAGCATTGTAAAAGTTCTGCTCTTTTTGTCATGTGCATATATTAGTAAAAGCAAATGAAAGAATGTGCTAATGAATTATAGATTATTTCTGGTTTCCTCAACAATAGAACCTTCTGACTTCTCTCATTATTCCCCTACCCTACAGTTCTCTTGCAGAAGTTAGCCAGAAATATCCAGAAGTGGTCAAAAGAGAGAAACATCATACGATTATTTTTTTAATTTCTCTCCCCAAACCCCCATTGACAGTTGGCTGCTAACATCAAATCCTCAGAATGTATTGCCTTACTTTGGCTACAGAAGAAAGCCAACACAGCTCCTGCACTAAAAACCTCACAGATTCCAAATTCTGTAGATAAGAAAATGCAAATAATAATAATACTTATTTTATTCCAGGGCAACTAACAGCAGTAGGGAAGCAATCATTCACTAGGGTTCATGGAAACACCGGAAGTCATAAACATTCTGCAAATAACAGAAATATTTGGAAGAGGAATAAAGTGAATGCTCCAACTGGGTTTGAACACATCTCCATTTTCTGTTAAAGGTTTCTTTTGGGAAAGGTTGAAGTCTAAGAAGTTGTGATGTAAAGTGAACCTGTACTGTACTGCATTTGCAAAATTTGCTTGAGAGAGCCTGACTTTACCTTAACAGTGGCTGTATGGTTTTGCCAACTGTTTTCCACCCGGCTCCTTCCATTTCAAGTCTCATATTCAAGTTTGTCAAGCCAGGAGGTCAGCACAGACACCCATGGCTCAAATTTAGGTCTTCCATGTCTACGCTTTTTTCTCCACTGTATCTATGGAGGAGGCCAGGGTTGTCACACAGGTTGGACTTCAAACATGTCTTCTTTTGTTCATTTTCCATTACATGGTGGATTGATAGGACTAAGTAATTTACAGTAAGGTTCCTTGTGCTGTTTTTTCAACTTATATGAATTGACAAGGACGCAGCATTTCTGGTAAACAGGTATTTTCCTTGATGAAAAAAAATATTTGCCTGAAAAAGAAAAAACTAATGCAGCCACCACATCTAAAGACTGGTACCCTGCAATATATTATGATGTTGCTTTGAGCGCAGAGACACACGTTAAAGGAGAATTATGAGGTGAAGGATTTTCACTTAGCCTCATAATCTGAGCCGACCTGTGACAATGAAACTGTCACAGTTCGGCTCAGTAGATCGGGAAGTGATCGAACACATACCGTCACTCGCTCACTTCTCGATCTATCCGTGCAGAGAGCCGCGACTGTCACTCACGGCTCCCTGCAGGGATTCCCCCCCTCCCCTGTCCGATCCTGCAGCGCTGACTGGCGGAACGGATGGGGGAGGGGGCGGGTACAGCTGGCTCTGCCGTTAGATAGGCAGAGCCAGCTGTCACTCACGCAGCTGGGTGGATCCAGACAGAATTGTCGGGATCCATTCCGGATGCGGCGTCTCAGTATACCATGAGCTGTAGCTCGCCATATACTAAGCTTTGGGTGACGGGAGGATGCTAGTTTGTGTCCTCCCGTTACAAGTAGGAGAACTATGGGGAAAAGCCCTAACCCCATAGTTCTCCTTTAAGAGTAGACAGCACAATATGTCTGTTATTAGCCAAAAAGGTGTCTTCTGTGCTCCTCTCTGATTTCATTTTACTTAGTTACTGGGGCAGGACTTCCCTTGTCTTTATAGCTTTTCCCTGCCAACTACTGATTAATTAATGTCCATAGCAACTGGTCTGGAATCTCTTGAATTTCGCCATAAAATGAAATGTGAAACCTACATGTTTGCTTCTCGGAAAAACTCCACTTTCTTTCCTGAAATCAGCCCCAACATGTGTAATAAGTAGAATTATTCTTTATAGAGAAAAAATAAAGGTATCCTAGTTCTGTCTTACCTTCCTCGCAGTGACGGCCCTGGAATCCTATAGGACAAAGGCACATGTAGGAGTCAGCTGACCTCGATGTACAGGTTCCTCCATTGACACAGGAAACTTTATCACACACCCCAATACTGCAGTCACCTGTGTGTCAGCAAAGAAAGAAATTTATATATAATCTGCAATTCATTTTAAGGATTTCTGACTCTTATATTTTTTAATAGACAAACAGAATAGTTAGCTTATAAAGTTTAGCTTATAAATCCCCATTTCTTAAAATGCATTTTCACTTATGCAGTCAAATTTGAAAACAAACTCCACTATATGTTTGTTACGTGCTCCTAGTCACATAGCATATATGAATAATTTATTAAAAAATACACTCCATTTTCCCAAAAAAAAGTCACGCACTCTATTTCATTGGACAGCCTTTAGCTTTCATTACGGCGCGCATTTGCATTGGAATAATTTTGATAATCTTATGCAATATCACAATATTTATTTCCATCCAGAGTTGTATTCATTTTTCACCAAGATCTTGTAGTGATGATGGGAGAGTCGGACCTCTGCGTAAAGTCTTCTCCAGGACCTCCCAAAGATTCTCAATGGGGTTAATGTCTGGACTCTGTGGTGTCCAATCCATGTGTGACAATAATGCCTCATGCTCCCTGAACTACTCTTTCACAATTTGAACCCGATCAATCCTAAAATTCTCATCTTGGAATATGACCAATGTGCCATCAGGGAAGAAAAAATCCATTGATGGCTGAACCTAGACCATAATCCATTGGAAGGCTCTGACTTATGCTTAGCTAAATCCAGGTGGCAGGGGCTGACTGGCAACTTTTAGCCCAGGGGGCAAGTACAACCCAGAGGCCCATGGTGCAGCAACTTGGCCCCTCTCTCCCTCTTCCCCACCTTCTCCCCGCCCCTGTCTGCCACTTGTGCCATCCATGTAACAGTAGTGTGAATGTATTTATCGGTTTAGGAAATATAAAGCACACTGGTAGTGGAGAGATGCCTCGTCAGGGCTGTGCGTGTGCATGACTGCTGCGACCTGGTAGTTCTGCCACTAACTCAGAAATACATTGTACAGCATTGCAGAATGGCATTGGCTATAGAGAACTACAATTCCAAGCAATACATTACACAACAATGCAGAATACCATCAGCTATAGAGGACTATAAATCCCAAAAATAATGACTACCAACAGCTATAGAGAACTACAATTCCCAGCAATACCATTATACAGCAATGCAGAACAGCATCAGCTATAGAGGACTACAAATCCCAGCAATAGTACATTATAGCTGGTGGAATTCTGCATTGCGCTGTATAATGTATTATTGCTGGGTTTTGTAGTCCCCTATACAGCGCAATGCAGAATACCACCAGCTATATAGGGATACAACAAATTCCAGCAATACATTATACATTGAGTGTATAATGTATTTCTGGGATTTGTAGTCCTCTATAGCCAATGGTATATTGCTCTCTATAATATCCAGGTGGTGAGTTTTTTTTGGACAGGTAGTGTATTTTTTACGTTTTAGATGTGTCTGTGTAGCTGTAGCCTTTGCAGGCTTCTCTTTCAATATTCAAATGACAGGAAACTCTGGCTGTCCCTATAATGAGTCTAGGAGAAGACTGAGCTCCCCCTCATTAACATAGAATGTTCTAGATCTGTAACCATCTTTTTAGGACAGTGTTCAAATCTAGTTTACAACTAATAATGAGATCTGCCAGCACAGTACAGTATATTAAACATATTCAGGTATGTGGAAGGGAACATGTAACAAATCTAAAATAGGCATTATCCCCATTTACCTGCAAAAGTGGAAATACTAAGACCTGAGATTTGGTCACCCTCTAAGTAAAAAGATATATTAATACAATTTATTTACCAACATCAGCCCCGCTGAGTGCCTTTCCGAGTGGCCACTGTCTCATGTCAATGTTTCTTCCATTTACAGACAGGGACTGGATGCAGCCTTTAAATCCCCGGTTGGTCCCTGATGACTTCACCAGCCAGTAAGAACTTGGTGCCCCACCCAGGTATAAGGGAGTTCGAAAGGTGATCTTACTGTACTGACCCTGGCGGAAAAAGACAAACATAGTGCAACCTCCAGTAAAGTAAACTCATTATTACACAATATGCTTAATTGAAAACATCCTTGAGCCCCAGCATTCTTTATGCCGTTATGCCGAAAATAAGGCAAGTCAGTAAATTGGGATAGGAGGGGATCAGGGCAAGGCAACTAGCCCTGCAGTAGGGGAACACAAAGTATACATTTGAATCCTGTGTGTCACATGTGAACAGGTGCTGAACTGTGCATATAGACATGCCCTTGTAGATACAGTGTAGTGTATAGTATTTTCTGAAGTTCTGTGTGATGCTGATTTATATTAGAAATAGTTTACATTTTAATTTATATCTAATGGCACGCTCCAAGTACCCACCATTATAATAGCCAAAAAAAAAAAAAGCAGGGTAAGATATTTGAAATAATGGAAAATACACTATATGCACAAATGTGTGTTGATACCTGACCATCACGCCTGCAGTATATGAGCTTGTTGGAAATCCCATAGCAAAACCATATGCATTGATATAGACCCCACCTCTTTGCAGCTATAATTGCAGCCTCCATTCTTCTGGGAAGGGTTTCCACAAAATTTTGGAATGTGTAGAAATTTGTATTTTTTCAGGGGGGGAATTGTGTGTGAGGTCAAGTACTGATATTGTAACAGTGTGTAATTTATCCCAAAGGTGTTCAGTAAGGTTAAGGTCAGGGCCCTGTGCAGGCCACTCGAGTTCCTCCACACCAAACCCATCGAGCCATGTCTCTATGGTTCTGGCTTGTGTACAGGGGGACATTGTTCCTGGAACAAAAAAAGGCCTTCTCCAAACTGTTACCACAATGTTGGAAGCTCACAATTGTCTAAAATGCCTTTGTATGCTGTAGCATTACCAGTACTCTTGACTGGAACTCAATAATTTGGAGGAAAGTCCACATACCATACAGTTTAAGTATTACATGAGTTTTGTAAAAAATTTTTTATGGCTTATCAAAAAAACATGGCTTATCAAATACTGTATATCCCCCACAGCCATCTATTTGTTGTCACTGGTGGTGTTGTGATGTTATGTGTCTTACCGGAGATTTCCCGGACACGGGAGTGCTGTTATCAAGCTTAATCCACCCGTTCAGACCTTCTCTGTACACTGTCACAACATGCCAGGTACCTGGTTTGATTTTGCTGTCACTTGTAATAATAGCAGTCCCAGTACCACAATTATAGCTGAAGAAAAAAAAAGAAAATATGCAATAGATAGATAGTTGATGGAGTTCCTGCACTGACCTAAACTGTAAGCCTACGTAGACTGGAAAAGATTAAAGCTCTTGTTTGGCTCTTGCTGCTATCTGGGGCTCTATGAAAGATATCCCCCCTGACCTCCTGTCCCCCAATTCCTGTCCTGAATAGCTCTCTAACAGAGCCCCAGATATCAGTAAAACCCAACAGGGGTTCTAACCCTACCCTACTCTATCCACAGGTAAAAATAAAATCTTGGCTGGGTATATAGACTTTAATTCCATCAAAGTAAACCTGAGAAATACAGATGCTCACATTGTTGGCTTTTGAAAATGCTAGCTAATTGGCTTTCTTTGGCTTCTAAACTCTGAGAAACCCTCCTTAAGTAAGCAACATACCATGACTATCAGCTTTATGCCAGAACTCCTGATCTGCATGCGTATTCCAATCCCATGACACTTCGTGACAGTCAAGGAACTGGTATTTTTTAGGAGAGTTCACCAATAGTAGCCTCCGTACTTCCTCCCTACAGCTAGCTATGAGTAAGGGCTGGGAACAAAGCTTATGTTTAAAGACCTTTGCCTAGACTTCCTTGCTTCAATATGTGTATGGGCTGATAGAAGCCCCTCCAAGAACCAGCATGTTCTCGTTGCCCTGAACGTGGCTTGGAGGTTGAGCGTGTTCCTCTGTGTTCAAAAGGCTGAAAAAGGCTGACCTGTGGACTTCCTTTGTTTTAAACTGCTTATTATAGTTCATAGTCCACCTAAAGACTCCTGACTCTATGCACCCCAGAAGGTGGTCAGTGCAGAGTTGGTGGGAGTGGAGTGGATGGTAGGATTGCATAGAACTTACCGGAATTGTACACTCCTGCGAATTATGGCCACTGACATGAAGTCTCCGCGGCCATATTCATTTTCACCACAGTAGAGCAGTAAGCCATCATCACCTTGAGCCTAACACCAAACACAGAATTGTCAAACATATAACAAAATAAATAGACAAGAAAAATATAAAAATAGACAATATAAAATAACAGCGCATGCAGAATAAAGTCTTTGAGAAACAGTGAACACAACATCCTGCAATAATGATTCAAAATATGGGTTCGCTAAGCCCCCATTTACAGTTGAGCGTTGGCATCTTTGCCCATTTTTCATGCGCCATTTTGTTCCCATTTGAACACAAATTTTCAGGCTTGAGCATCTTTGTTTTAGCCAGTGAAAAGCTAGGTAGTAGGAGGAGAAGCCTATTAGGTGCAAAATTACACGTACAACACACGTTCATGCAACACGTCCCAGAGAAGCTTCTGTACCTTCTGTTGAGCAGCAATACGTTGCTCACATATGAATGAGTGCAATATGATAACACGGAAATCTGAGTGTCAAACTCTGAAAAAGTTCTGGAAACACACTTCAAATTGCCTAGGTATGAATGTCTCCCCTACGTCTCCTTTTCAAGGAATACCAAACCACATTATCTAGCACACCGACCAGAGCCCTATCATAGAGCGTCACCAGATCTTGGACTTTACCTCGCAGCATAGAACGTGACTGGTTCCTGCCTAATGTCTCGGTTAAGACAGACCTTCTCGGTTGCAGATTCCTCCAGGTTTCTAACAACCTCTCCAAAAGTAAGTCTAAATTTTGTACACCATCCTTATTTGAAGAACTACACCATTGCAGTCTTGTCTGCTCTTCTTTCTCCCGTACCCCCACTTTTTAAATCCTGCTTAATGAACACCATATAACTGAAAAGTTTTGCAAACAAAAAAAAATAGATTTCTGTTAGCATTTTATTAGCAAATGTAAGACTACTATGACCTTACGTGCTGAACCAGCCTGAGTGCTGGGATCTCATACTTGGGTGTTTATCACCCCCGAAAAGTAGAACTGCCAGATCAATTAAGATGATTCTATGGAGAACTGGGAAGAGATATGTAATAACCTGACCCCCTTTTGAAAATGCTAGTTGCCTTGCTGTCTCTAACCTCACTGGGTTTGATTTACTGAAGGTAAATAGGTTGTTTACTTTGCAAAGTAATCTTCCCTTAGGTTAAAATGCACCTGGATAGAGTGGAGATGGATTGCAAGCCTGTCAGGTTTTTATTGTTGTCTGTGTCCCCGTTAGCGAGAGTAACCCCCCCCCCCCTTTTTGTCCTGGTGACCGTTATAACTGAAAGTGAAAGAAATACCCAAATTTTGTGTTGTCATCAGAACAGGAAAAGATGGCAAATCTTCCAATGTGGACACTAGAGCCTGCTGCCCATCAGGGATTTCCTCTCTTTTCCTAATGTGCCTATGAGACCGTAAGTGAAGGAAAATCTCCCCAATTGGAGACAAATGACCAAAAACTACTCTATCCAAAAGTTTAAAAAAAATTTGGCTTTAGCTCTACTTTAATGATTGAGGTGAAGCTCTGCTGACTTCCATCATCCAATCATGTGCAGGGAAAACTACTGTATTTTAACATTTCCATGCAAGTGATTGGGTATTCTTTACATAATGAATTTTACCCTATTCACTAAGATAAAAGAAAATTCCCTGGCAAAGTGAACAGCCTATCTGTTTTTGCTAAATCAATCACACTGGATAAGAACAAGAATGCAGCACGTGAAGTCAAAACTCCAACTCTCCATAATAATTCTAGGTCAGTGACTCAAAGCACTGGGGGAAGATCAACAAAACAGCCATACACATTGCATTTTCCCTCATGACAGGTTTCCTTTAAATGTACATGGCCACCCTGGAAACTGGCCACCCAGACCAGCCCGAGCATACATGCTTTGACCTACACCTTAAAAGTAGAGACTTTATCTTACTATGTAATAAATATTAATGAAATATTATCAGACATCAAACCACTCACCCTGAATTCCACAGTAATCTGAAATGTTTGGTATGAATTCTTCAGCGGTTCAAAGGTCATGTAGGAGTGGCCATAAAATTGAGGATATTGTACGTTAATATCTAAAAAAGAAAAAAGTTCAGTTAGAAATAATGCAAAAGTCTAAAAAATATTAAAACTGATCCAAACAAGTACTCAGAATTATGAGAAGAGAAGAAAGGAGAGGAAAGGAGAAGAGAAGAGATAAGAAAAGAGAGAAGAGAAGAAGATAAAAGAGAAGAGAGAAGAGTAGACAAGAGATAAGAATAGAAGATGATAAAAGATAAGATAAGAGAGAAGAGAAGAGAAAAGAGAAGAAAGAAGAGAATAGAGAAGAGGAGAGAGAAGAGATGAGAAGATAAGAAAAAAGAGAAGAGAATAGAGAAGAGAAAAGAGAAGAGAAGAGTAGACAAGAGAAGAAAAGAGAAGAGAGAAGAAAATAGAAGAGAGAAGAGAAGAAAGAAGAGAAGAGAAGAAGAGAAAAGAGAAGAGTAGACAAGAGAAGAGAAAAGAGAAGAGAATAAGAGAAGACGAAAAGGGAGAAGAGAAAAGAAAAGAGAGACGAAGATAATAGATAAGAGAATAAAAGAGAGAAGAAGAAAAAGGAGAAGAGAAGAGAGAAGAGAATAAGAGAAGAGAGAAGAAGAAAAGGAGAAGAGAATAAGAGAAGAGAGAAGAGAATAAGAGAAGAGAGAAGAAGAAAAGGAGAAGAGAATAAGAGAAGAGAAGAGAGAAGATAATAAGAGAAGAGAGAAGAGAATAAGAGAAGAGAATAAGAGAAGAGAGAAGAAGAAAAGGAGAAGAGAAGAGAAAAGAGAGGAGAGAATAGAAGAGAAAGAGAAGTGGAGCACCACACCAGCCAACTGAATATTTTATTTCATATTTAAAAGAGTATTATTTCATATTTAAAAGAGTATTAACAATGTAGGGGGTCTCAATGGGGACCCCCCTACATTGGGGCTCTGTACATTGGAATATTTGGTTTTGAACAATAACAGACACTAGAACACTAGAAGCAGCTGCTTAAAGCTGAAGTTTTATGTCCTTATATTTTGACTTCCCTGGTTCCACCTATTCCATCTAATGACATAGAATGAAATTTTTTGAATAAAACTTGTTGTTTTTTTTTATTCAGTGATGTCATCACTGGGTATCTGTGCTTTTTAGCAATGCAAGCAGATCATGTCTGATGGGAGGGGCCGGCAGGGTGCTGTGCATAGCTTCCTGAAAACATCACAGAACCTTAGTACTCCTCTCAGGAGCCCAAAGCCACGATGCAAGCAGTGAGCTGGCTCTTGGGAGGAGTTAAACAACTATCAAAAGACCTTGATGGGTGGACACCAGTCTGAAAGTGTGGGCATTCCTAGGCTGGTTGCGTTTGTGTGCAGACCACCCTAGGTATTTCCCACATGTGATGCTGAGCCTTCATGACTGAAAGAACTTAAATGGTGCCATAATTGTTTAGGCATTATGCCAGGTCACCATTTACTTCCTGGAGATCCAGTTCAGAGATGACACAATCATGTAAATATTGGTTTCTGTCCAACTCTTGGCTGTGCTCACAAATGTCTGATACAGATTGCTAGAAAGTTACATTGTTGCACTCTGATGGATAGGAGACTGAGGATGTGCTTCATCCTGCCTGCAGCAGACTGCAGCCTAGTCAAAGTCACTGAATGGAACTTCAGGATGGCTTCTAATGATGAAAGGTGAAGCTTTTTTGAGAAATGATACTGTTGCTGTATATTGTGACACGTCAGGAATTTATTTATGTAGACTTGTGAAGAGTCCGCTTTAATTTTTATAATCTTTTATCGTACCTTGCCATCTTTGGACAAACCAAAATATGATTTTTTTTTTGTTTGCCTTGTCTTTAAAGTGCACATGATCATATGATGGTGGCCTGACCAGGACCAGAGCTTCTATTTAGCTCTTGTAAGTTCCTAAATCTTTTTCTGAGTTTACATGTGAACGTCATAAAAACCTATGTAATATATGCCAAGCTGTAATAACACAATGAGCATTGATCAGAGTGCACAGAAAACGCCATAGGGAAGGTCAGTTGTGTGTTTTCTCTGTCCAGCCAGTTCTGTGTTAGAAGACATTGACTAGTTTATGTGCACATGACACACGAGCTAGGAGAATTCAGTGACGCACTGATGGACTGAATTTTAAAAGGCGCTTTGGAATTGTAAGTGCGTCAGTCCATATTTGTGTGCCTGGCTACTTCTTTTAAGGTGAAAAGAACACTAATGTTTATGTTCTGCCACAATTGCTAATTTATGATGGTGATCTGACTTGAGTCTGAGTAGAAGCTTACAATGGTGGTCTGACTGAGTCTGGGTAGAAGCTTATGATGGTGGTCTGACTGAGTCTGGGTAGAAACTTATGATGGTGGTCTGACTGAGTCTGGGTAGAAGCTTATCATGGTGGTCTGAGTCTGGGTAGAAGCTTATGATGGTGGTCTGACTTGAGTCCCGGTAGAAGCTTATGATGGTGGTCTGACTGAGTCTGGGTAGAAGCTTATGATGGTAGTCTGACTGAGTCTGAGTAGCAGATATGATAGTGGTCTAACTTAGTCTTGGTAGAAGCATATGATAATGGTCTGACTGAGTCTGGGTAGAAGCTTATGATGATGGTCTGACTTGAGTCTGAGTAGAAGCTTATGATGGTGGTCTGACTGAGTCTGGGTAGAAGCTTATGATGGTGGCCTGACTGAGTCTGGGTAGAAGCTTATGATGGTTTTATGACTGAGTCTGGGTAGAAGCTTATACCACCTCAAGGATGATCTTAGGTATACACTTCTGGTGGGATGCCAATCTAGACATACATACAGTGAGTAGCAGATTAGACAACACATACAGTATATGAAGGCTGGTAAGGTTTAGGTAAACTATTAACCAGACTAGGAAAAGTGTGCCTATTGCGGAGCAGGCCAGGGGCTTAAAGGAAAAAAGGATAGTTTTTGAAGACTCCGGAGGAGAGGTGTTTGGTTAGAAAGAGTTTAATAAAGGTTGATGTACAGAAGTTGAGAGTTGTTATTGGAGGAATGAATGGAGCTTTGCAGAGTGAAGTCAGCTGTGATTAGGGTAGCATTGGATTGTGATTGGGTGGTGAATGCAGGTGAGGTGGCTGGATGGAATGCATGCAGGGAACGGAGAGGGTATGAGGTGGCCAGGGAAGGATGTAACCTGGGGGGGAGTCAGGTAGAGATGCATGTCAGCAGAAAAGGGGAGGAGGCAAGGTGGCTGGGAAAGGACAAATGTCATTTGGGGGGCAAAGTGACCAGGGAAAAATGTATATGTCAGCGGGGGGCTGGGAGAAGTAAAATGACCGTTGAGTGATGCAGGCCACGGGGGAAAATGGGTGGGGGATATAGTGAGGTGACTGGGGAGGCATGTATCTTAGGAAGGGAGGAGGGTGTGAGGTGGCTGAAGAAGGATTTATGTCACCCTTATTGCCAAGAGATAATAATCTACCCCCTAGGACTTTCCTCTGTTGGACCTCACATGATTTTTCCAATGTTCGCGATTTTCAGGCATGTGGCACTTTCCATCATATTCCAACTACCAGGAGCACTTTGAAACTCCCCAGATAGAGTACTGTAGATATCTCCATATTAAATACTTTATCGCCTCTCTTTCCTGGAACTTGCATTTCTCTTACACTTACTCGGTCTTTAAACAGATCTGCTGTTATGGATCAGGTTCCCCTTGGCTTAAATCAACTTGATATTGAGTTCTAAATACTTGCACCCCATATACTTCTTACACATACAGTATGTTAGGATATGGGAACAACATTTAACACCCCCACTATTTCCCCCTTCCCAAGGATTGGAATAAAATCTGGTCTTGGATAGCCAAATGATCAATTAACACAACCATACTGGAATCTGCTTACAAGGTAATTTTTAGGTGGTAATGGGTACCGACTCAGATTACAAAAGCTGTTCCATCCTATAGCAATAGATACTTTTGGGGATGTGGTTATGAAGGCAATGTTCTCCATACATGGTAGCCTTGTCCAAAATTGTTATCATCCTGGTCTAAAATCTTTGCCCTTATCCAAACCCTGTTCCATATTATAATTCAAAAAGTTCCAGAGATAACTCCTTTACACCATCCTATTTTGGGCCCTTACCTTTGGTTCTGAGCCCTTGGTGGCCACTGGATCCCCTCTTTTCTTTCCTCAATGCCCCCGCCTCTGCTTGTTTCCCTTTTCTTTCCCATTTCCCCTTAAAGCCACTCCCCCCCCCTTATTTCTCCTCGTCCCTTCTCCTTGCTTACCAGCATTGGCTTCTATACCCACATTTGAATATGGGTTATAGAGTGTAGGACTCCTGGATACATCTAATATTTCTTATATGTATCCTGACAATCTACTGTTGGCTACCCACTATTCTATATGCCCCACTATGCTTTGCTTTATTTTTGAATGTTTTGATCGACTCCTGCATAGGTGACACCTTTGTTCTACTCTACTTGAAAATAAAATGAAAATACTGAAACAGAACTCATTATCACATTATCTTGTCTATTGATGTTTTACAAAACTTTGAGCAGGTTGAATTAAAAAAATCAACCATTTTTGGCTTATTCAGCAGGAGTCAGACAAAATTCAAGCAGTTTATGGTCAGCTTTACCTTTACTGTTTACTTTACCTTCAATGTTACTTTCTGTGGCCTTTGTTTTTTTTTTATTTCCCGAATGTTTGCCAAAATCCATCTATAAAAGGATTGTGATTTTGACTTGTTTTTCATCTAAGCTATTTGAGCCACTCCAGCTGATGGTAAAACTATTTTATTAAGTGCTTTTACATGTCTATTCTTTCCCCACTACCAAAACAATTATGTTATATAAAAAAAAAAAACAAGACTATAAAAAATATATTGTTAATTTCATTTATTTATATCTTTATATATTATTTTAAGGCAACAGTGCACCTTAAAATGATACTATACCTATAGGTGATGTTGACTGGGCTCCTGACCTCTTACATGTCTTGGACAGTCAAACAGAAAGATCCCCCTGCAATAGTTCTCAATCTATTCATGTCTACCTGGGAGTTTTGGGTGTTTTTGACCACCTTTGTGAGTTCCCAGTTGCTCCTCTTACATTCTGCATAATAAAAGAAAAACAGCAGGGAGAATGGGAACCCCTCATAGCGGCCAAGGCAGGTGTACACCAATACAGCCACAGAAAATATAGGAAACTGTCAGATGGTTTACCTCCAGCAGCTCAAAAACTCCAATACCAGTTTTGGGTGTGCTTACCCTTTAATTGTATTTATGGTACAAAATGTATGATAGAAGGTAAAATGGAAAAAAAAAAAAAAAACTGATACTGGAGAGTTTTAAGGTGAATTTGTACTGAGGCTTAGGAATGTAAACTGCAAGCAAGATATAAATGCAGGCACTTGGAGTGCTCCTTTAGGCAAAAACTAACTTCTGCTTGGAAGCTGCAACTTCAGCCTATTACATCCTGCTCCTTACTAGTGGTCAGCAGGGAGGCCCATCACATTGAAGGATCAATGGTAAGGTGGGAATAAAAGAGGGGGGGTGTTTTTGATGCTTCTGGATTACTACGGAAGGTATCGCTAGCTTTGTGCATGTACCTTTGGATACATACATGTAGATTCTGCTAAACATCAACATTTTTAGGGTCTTTTATACTGCAAATCAATAAATCTGGCCCAGTATGCAAGTTTTCCTCCTTTTCTTTCTTTTTTTTTCTTATTTATTATTCAGATCCAAGTTGAGCATTTCAGACTTTTCCTATACAAAAAAAGAGTGGGTTTGATGTGCGAAAAACACAAAAACTAAACTTGTCCTATTTTGAAAAAAATCAGATGTGATAGTAACAAACCACATAGAGATGAATAAAATGCATTTTCATGTGGTAAAAAGTGCATTTTACTGAAGGTTGACATGCCCCTCAAGTTCAGCACAAGTTAACAAAAAGTCTGTTATGGGCTATTTGCCTCTAAACAAATCTGAACAGCCCTGACAATTTTACAAAAACATCCTTTTCTGTGAAAAATTCCCAAACAAATGTGGAATAATTAAGGAGACTTTGAGCCTTGTGTGGTTTCTCTTCTTCAGGGTATCAAATCTTAGAAACTCTGAATGTGCCAATGATAGTCTTCCTAATAAGGATACAATGATGGGGTGGGAAGAGGTAATCCATGGTTCCAACAAGAAACCATGGGAGGACCAACACAACAAATTATTCTGGATATCTGATCTAGGAGATCTACTATTGCACGTGGGTAGCCATTGTCTTGAGAAGCTTTGTGGCCATGAACCAATGGAAGCTTTCCTAATAAGGATATGCATGGTCCCCGCAAGGAACCATATGAGGGCAAAGACAACAAATTACTCCGGGAGTCTGATCTAAGAGATCAGCTATTGCATTATGGGTAGCTATTTCAGCTTGAGAAGCTTTGCAACCATCAACCAACTGTAGCATTTCTAATGATACAGTGACGGGGGTAGGAACAGGTAATGTATGGTTCCCAAAAGAAACCATACAAGACAAGCCAAGACAACAAATTATTCTGAGTGTCTGATCTAGGATATCAGCTATTGCACATTGGCAGCCATCTCGGCTTGGTAAGCTAGGTCCATGCAAGGTCCACTTACATTGCACCCAGCCCCCAATAAAAATGTTAATTAAAAGCAGTAAAAAAAGAATTTAAATAAAAATTTAAAAGCATAGCCCAGGAGGTTCTGGTCAGATGGGACTAAAGGAACCAAAAAGCCCTCCATCATATCAGTGCATAGCATAGTGAAGGCTTGTTAGGACAGATATGCCAAAAAGGGGCTCATTCATCACTTCACGTTAGTGGGCAGAGCTATCCAAATGATTCCTTTATGCCCCATGGACAACCGTGCCTCCAGAACCGCACAGATAGAGCAAAAACACTTACCTTTCACCCTGCTTCCAATTATGCCAATAGGCCTCACCGTGGGAAAGCTCAGGACCCAAATCGGAGAAGCTGATGAAGCACTGTGCATGATTTGGGATCCTCAGCCCAAATCCCACTAGAAGACCCAGTCACATGACCCTTGCACAGGTGAGCATGCTAGAGTGTAAGCTAATTATTGTTACCTTTTATCTTTTAGTGTTTTGTTTTCTAATTGCTTTCGCTGATCTTTTTTTTATTCAATGGGTGGGGTCGGTTGCCACATAAGTGAACCACTCTAATATGTTATATTTAGTGATTCACATACTGTAGCTCTGCCATTAGAAACTGTAGAAGGTTTTGGTTTAGATTAGCCTTATTTACTAAAACCTTATTATACTCATAAAGACATAAAGTGCAGAATATGATGGCTGGGATGAGATGTGCCTGCCAGTAGTCGGCAGATGACCATCTGTGTTCATGTTCTCATGGGACTGGTAGTTTTGCAGGATATATGACTGTCCAACGGATTCTTCACTTTCACATATTGAGTTGCTATAAAAACTCTGATTATTAGTCACTTGTATTGCAGTCTCTAACTTGCCTTCCTCGTCATGATGACATCTGATGCTTGATATGTGTTTGAATCACATTTTCTTTATAGTATTTGTACCTTAGTAAAGAGATCCTGCAGGGTTTTAAAATGATGTCACTAGTCTGCTATGGCTCATCAAAGACCATTATCGTGAGAAATATTTATTTCTGATAAATGAATGTGGATAACACATAGTAGAATAGTATTTATTATATGAAATATTTTTCCCTATGCCTTTAGTTATCATTTTACCATAATTACAATCAGACTAAGGTGCCTTCTAAAAGTGATAGTGACCAGGGCTGGGACAAAGTATAAGATGGTCATGTGAATTGAAGCCAAACTCCAGCTAAAATGTATCCGTTCTTTTTATAGGTTTTGCCAACTAAAAGTGATAAAACCAAACTTACCCTCCTCACAAGTCTCCCCTCCTTTTCCAAGATTACAGTGGCACCGTGAGCCTCCGCGATCATAGTCATTAAGGCAGAAGCTGTCCAAAGGGCAAACCGTTTCCTCACAAGTCAGGTCAAACAGCCGAGGAGGAGACATCACACTGACTCTCCTGGTGGGTTTGGCAGTTGCTCTTACTGTGGTGGTCGCAGGTAAGGGGGTGGTGCTTGTTGTTGTGGGAGTGGTTAGCCATGTCTTTCTGGTAGTGGCGGATTTCACTGGTGATGAAGTGGTGGTAGTTCTTAAAGGAACTATCTTAGTATATGTCCCAGGTGTCCCTTTGGTTTCGATAACAAACTTTTTGTTGCCCTCTTTGTTCGAAGTAAGTGGCTTCACCTATCGAACAACAATCAAGAAATAACATTAGTAGACATGTGTTGCGAATGGAATATAGAGGTACTGGAAGTTTCACACCCCGGGTTGTAATGTAGAAAAAGAGGGAAAAAAGAGGATATTTCCCCAGTGGGGTGTGAAAATGGTTTGGGCATTTGCACACCCCACTGGGGAAATATCCTCTTTTTCTATATCGAACAACAATAAATATTTACAATGCAGAATAAAAACAATTATGTTCCCAGGGCAACATAAAAACATGATATTACTTAACCATTTCATGACTTCAGGTCATTGAAGTCCAATGGTGGGCGGAGACAGCTGTCATCTGTTACAGGAGGCCAGACCGGAGGTGCGGGGGAGGACTTAGCTGTTAGAGGAGATCGAGCTCTCCTCCCCTCCTGTGACAGCAAGTCAGGATGGAGAGCAGGTACAAGCAGTCAGTGATCAGTGATTGCTGAGTGTTTGTAACTAATTGAGGACAGAGTATGTTTACTATATCCTCAGTTATGATCTACATCACTTCCTGTTCATTCATGATTGTGGTTATAGTAAACATACTATGTGCACAAGTTATGAATGAACAGGAGCACTCAGTATAGAGGATTCCTGTTTATTTATAACAGGGCTGCAGAATAAGAGATTGAGGACTCTGTGTTCTCAACCTCTTTTTCTATTTTAAAAGAGAAATATCAGGGGTCTGTTTAGACCCCTGATATTTCCCCAGAGCCCCCGACAGTAAATTAAAAAAATTAAAATATTTAATAAAATAAATAAAAATAAATGTAATTTCGGTGCACCTGTACTACTGACACGTTTTAGTTAGTTTAGCAAAAAGAAGCTATGTAATTACTAACAGGAAGCTAGAGGTCTGCAATTAAATACCTTCCATGATGATCAGAACATGTTTTCAAATACATTAAGGTCTGCTTATTCACAATATTGCAGTTTAAGGTCTTTAAAGAATAACTAGATTAATAATTGGCCCAACTCAAACTCAAAAGTTTATTCTTCATACACACCGTCATAATAACAAATTCAATACATTTTTAATAATAAAAACAGAACAAACTATAAATTCACTTACGTCATCAATATAGATATCATAATCGGAATCATCAATGTCATATCCGTTGTCGTCACCTATCTTAGGCTCTGTGACATAACTGTGAATGTAGCCTCCAGATCCCAGTTCGTCTGTGCCTGAAACACATATTACATTACATATTACCACATAGTTGGATCTTACTAACAATTCTCAGCCAAGAGAAGCCATTTCCAATCTCATGATTAGTGGACGTTACTACCGTGTTTCCCCAAAAATAAGACACCGTCTTATATTTTCTTTGCCCCAAAACACGCTAGGTCTTATTTTCAAGGGATGTCTTATTTTTTTTTTATGTGCAACAAAATGGTCAGTATCGGTAATGCTGATCCCTTTCTTTCACTTTCACAGGCGGAGTGCATCTGGTCACAGTAACCCATCAGGGACAGCGGTACCAGCGGTGCAGCAGTGAAGACATCATACACTGGACAGTGCGGTAAAGTATGGTACCATTTACCGGTACACATTACAGTACAGTACCATTACATTAAGCAATGCCTTCAGGGGGACAGCAGTTGGTGAAGTATAGTACTGGAGTGCTCCCTGTCACTGCGATGGCCGGAGGGAGACCCCTGTCATCCCCTTAATACAGTATGTCCCTGCATGCTGACACCATCTCTTCTGCTCTTCAAGTACCCCCGCATATGCTACCACCAAACTAGGTCTTATTTTCGGGGTAGGTCTTATATTACAGGAATCTTAAAAAATAGTGCTGGGTCTTACTTTCAGGGTAAGTCTCATTTTCGGGGGAAACACGCTGTAGATATGTTTTTTGTGTCTAGGGTCCAGACATACCAGGCCCCTATCTAGGTTCTGGTATGGATTTTGGAAGGGCCACACCCCATTTTTTTCAATTTTAACATTTACGTTTTTGACTGGGGTGCCCCGAGATTTTGCAAATCTCTAAACGGTGCCATGACTGAAAAAGGTTGACAAATGCTGATCTAATGCACACTTTTCAATGCCTCAATGCATTCTGGGACCAATGCATGGGGCTGCCATGTTGTTGGTTACTAACCAATTCAAACAAGCAGCAGGCATGTTCCCTTGTGATGATATCTGGGGGAAGACCTGACCTTTCCAGGAGCACTGCAGAAAATGGCAGGAGTGAGAATAAGATAAGAGTTGCTGGATCATGAAAAAGTAATTTTTCAACTAGTACATCCCTCGGCACATTTTAAAAATCCAAAAAGTGTGAATGAAGGTCGGTTCCAAAACCATATTTCAGCCTGTCCTCTATGAGCCTGAACATATTTTCCAAGTGGTGCAATACAAAAATACAGCGCAGATACAAAAATACATTGGGATAAAGAAGCATTGCAGATCTTTTAAAATCAATACAATGAGCATTGAAAGTGAATTCAATTACACCATCTATAATAGGCCTTGTGCTTGGCAAGGACATAATGATTGCTTCACAAGGCTGATCGATGCAGTCAGCGTGCACACCCCTATTATATTTATATCCTGCTTTTTATAACCTCCTCTTCACCAGCGCTGCCTTTCATGAGAGATTGAAAGAAATAAACGCTCCTCCAACGGCGTACAGCACCGGCGCTCCCAAGAAAGGGCAAATTGATTTCTGATTAAAGGAATTAATTTGCAAACATGTGTAATTGCACTGTGCATTATGCAGGAGAAATGGCAAACTAAAAACTCCAGGTAGAATCAAAACTATTGAAGTTTCTTCAATGAAATAAATTGGAAGGTGCAATTTACAGTTTACAAATTGATTTTAATAATCATTCCCATTTAGAGAAAGGACTAGAATAAAGAACTCTATCGAAAGTATAAATAAACTCACGTAATTAAATAGCAATTCCATTCCAAAAAAGAAAACCCCGAGCGGTTATACCGGTCTCTGTATACTTGGAAGATCTTTTCTCAGCTGTAAATTATCTCTGGGTGTCACAACCCCCGGCTCCAGTAATAAGTCTGAATTCTGGTTGACCTCTTTGTGCAGATTAAATAGCTACTTCATAAAAGGAGCAGGTGGAGGAAACGTACAATAGTATGGCATCGGGTGACCATCAGGAGGGGTATAGGGTAAGCAATATTTCACCTAACATTTCAATAGCCCTTTTGGGGGCAGAGGGAGGTTAGTGGCTCAGTTGGAATTTTTTGGATGAAAGGTCATTAGTACCCCAAAACAGGGGCTGTGCTGGGAATGGCCACTTGCATATGGTAAAAGGATATCGACACACATTGATTTATTAAAGCTGAACATCAGCCAAACACTTAAAGTATAATTGACAGTCACCCCCTCCATTTGTCCTGGTGACCCTTACCACTGAAAATGAAAGACAATCACACATTTTGGGTTGTCATCAGAACCGGAATAGATGGAAAATCTTCCAATGGTGCCACTAGTTCTGGTGACCCTGCTGACCACCAAGGATTTCCCTCTCTTTTGTGGAATTTCCCCTCACTTCATGCTGTGGCTTTCCCACAGGAAGTAAAAGGCAATGTCCCCAATGAGACACAGATGATAAACAAAAGCCCACAGGGGTAACCTTCCCTTACTCTATTACCGCTCTCTCCAGGGAGATGATCGAGAAGTGAGTGACGGTATGTGTTCGCTCACTTCCCGATCTATTGAGCAGACGTGTGACAGTTTCATTGTCACACGTTGGCTCAAACTATGAGGATGAGTGATTTTCACTCACCTCATAGTTCTCCTTTAAGTCATCTACGTCGGCTCAGCTTACCCTGCCCCCACCCAGAACTCCTGCTCTGTGTTTCCATTAGAGGTTAGAAGATTGGAAGGCTCCTGAGTGTCCTGGAAGTAAGGAGCAGGGAGAGCTGAGCTGCTGAGCACTGCTTTAGTGTGTCTCCGCTGTGAAATTTAAAGTGCAGCTGAAGCCAAAAAACGTTTTTTAGTTATGGATAGAATGGAGAAGGGTGAGAACCCCTGTCAGTTTTTTATTGTTGCCTGTGTCCCTGTTAGGGACATTCACCCTCTCTATTTGTCCTGATAACTGTAATCACTGTAAACACAAATAGATGGAAACTCTTCCAGTGGGGACACTAGTTCTGGTGGCCCTGCTGATCTTTGCAAATTTCCCTCAATTTTTGACGGATTTCCTCTCATTTGCTGGGAATCAGAGAGGAAAATGGCAAAATCTGATGGGGGTTATAACTTTCCTTTACTCTATCCAAAACTGACTTCAGCCCTACTTTAAGGATTAATTCCTCCACAGTGCTTGCAGCTACAGAGGTCAGTAAGGGCTTGTTTTAAAACCCATTTACTGCTTGGTAAGGATATATAACTACTTCAATGACACTAGCCCAACCACAGGTTAAATTTAAGGGTTAGGTTAGCGGTAACTCTTTTTTTTAGCATTGAGTTTTTTAGAGTGATTCTTTTTTTTTCAGGTGTGATAAATCACTAATGAATCTATTGTATCCAAAGTTACTGCACCGTTTTCCCTCATACACTTTCTGAAGATATGGGTAAACAACGCGATTTAACAGCCTTTGAACGTGGGATGATTGTTGGCGCTCGGAGCCATGGAGCGAATATCAGCAAAACAGCAGAATTCGTTAAATGTTCAAGAGCAGCTGTTGTTAAAGTGTTTAAAGACCGGACTGTCAGTCGAAAATCTGGGTCTGAGCGTGCGAATTGTGGCCGTCAGCGACTAGTCAATGTTAGGGCAGAATGGAGAGTGGCAAGACTGGTACAAGACAACAGAAGGGCAACAGTGCAGTGTCAGATTCCTCGCACCACCTTTCAACATCTCGTGGAGTCACGAGGCGGCCCAAGCAAGTCATCTCGTGGAGTCATCTTGTGGCCCAACGGAGTACTGATGGGGGTGGTCATAATAATCTGGCCACTCAGTGTATAGAAGAATATTGTACTTGTGTGGGTGGATTGTTTTGCACATATACTGACAGCCTGGAAAATGTTGGTTTATTTCCTTATTGTCAGATTTTTGTGGTGGCGTGCTCCTTTTAAATGATCAATCTCGTCTTTTTCTAAATGTAAAATTCTGATTCTTGCACAAGGCCAGCGATCCGGATAAAAGTTGGAAAAAACTTTTCAGCACTTTTAAAATACAACCGAGAGGTTTACTTTTTTCTTTTTGCAGCTCTGAAATAACAAGTCTCACGGGGAAGCTTTACCAGTCCCCAAACACCGAAGTGTCATCTGCTATTTCTCTTGAAATGAAAATCAGCCTCTCGGGAAACAAAATACTCTGTTACCATTCCTCCTAGGATCACACTTTAAACAATAATCACCTTTTTTTTTTTTTACCTCAGCGTCTCATCACAGTCATAAGCAAATGTAGGAAAAGTTATGTATGATCTGATTTGCAAACAATCAGAGGCCGCGCGGGTCCGTCCGTTCACTTTCACAAACGCAAATGGAAAGTGTCTTTGTAGTTGGGATGCATTTTATGTCGACGGCTGAATAATGAATTACATCTGGAAATAGCAAGGACACTTCCACCTTCTTTATATTTGTTCTCATGAACAGCAATTGTACAAAGTTGTGTTATTTATTTTCAATCTGGGAATTATTTGCATCCGCTGCAGGCACAGCTTCAGCGTTCTCGGTGTACCAGACAGATGGAAATGCCATTTAGTTAAAGGAGAATTATCACAATTACAGCATTGAAAGCTGAACCCCAGTCAAAACTTTAGATGTTGTTTTCTATAGATCAGGGAAAGGTTGCAGCTTCTGTCAGGTTCTTTAATGCTGTTTTTGTACTGTAATATACACTCGGGTGCCATTCAAAATGAATAACCGCATTTAGAATGAATGGCATTGCAGCTCAACACACGTTTACCTATGTGTTAATGTAATGCACGTTACTGCAACACACAAGTATGAATAGGCCCCAAGAATAAAAAAGCAGCTCCAGCTTTAGTGCCATTTCAACCATTTATTAGTGTTGTATCAATATAGTATTTGAGGTTGAATAAACACACAGGTCCATCGAGTTCAACCTTTGTGTGTGTATACGAGTCTGTGTGTGTTTCTGTCATTAAGAGTACCTGTACCCTTGTATGTTATGGTCTCTGAAGATGGTATCGAATTGATTTTTGAATGATTCATTATTCTCTGCTGATACCACTGCTTGTGGAAGAGAGTTCC